GACTATATGTCTCTTTGAGACCAAATGGGAGATGCTTAATGTTAATAAATAAGCAGTTTCTACATAAATAAAGACCAGGCCCTGAAATCTACAGACTTGATTAATTATTTTTTTCCATGCCAAGCCAAATGGACTCATAAAACAAGCGATAAAGCTGTGAATTGTACACTTAGTTACAAATGCATTCAGAATAAATATGGTTTCTATTTGTAAACACAGATATTACAGTGCTATGGGACTCAAACTTAATCCCTTATAATAGAGGAAAATACAAATATCTGACCCTTGTGCATAAAACACATTTGTACCAAAGTACTGCAGGAACAGATAATAAGTTTGCTTTTGTTTTAGATGCCAAGAAATGTGGTGCAAAGCCCTGGAGGGTGTATTTGACTCACCTTCTTTCTGGCCTTCTGATTGGTTCCTTGCTCCAAACCTTATTAAGCCTAATCAATTGGGTCCATTGCATTGTGACTTTCATATACACAGTGTGCATTTGCATGCATTTAAGAATAGACTTTTAAAAAGTATTAATTTAAAAACAAATATGCTTTAATTTTAATTTTAAAAACAAATATGCTTTATATTTCTGTGAATGCATACACCAAAAGCTTTAATAAAGAAGCAGCTATGTTAGCTGTTATTTTCTATTGCTATGAGATCAAATTTTACTGTTTAAATAATTTGGATAATATCCTTTTACTGCAAATTTTCTTATTTCTCTAAGAGAGCCAATAATTAACCACAAAAGGAATGACTGACTACAGAAATCAATGGTTGTCCTAGAATACATTTTGATATCACAAATTCACCATTTCAATTTTAGGATCAAAATGATGGACAATTTTGCTGGACACAATAGTGCAAACCTGTTTTCCCAGTGACTAGAGAGGCTGAAGCAGGAAGATTCCAAGTTTGAGGCCAGATCCAACAACTTAGCAAGATCCTCAGAAATTTATCGAGAATCTGCCTCAAACAATCAGTAAAAGGGATAGGGATGTAATTCCGTGGTAAAGTGCCTGAGGGTTCAGTCCCTATTCCAGTAGATGGATCAATCAATCAATCAATCAGGAGAGCTGAAGCCAGGAAGAAGCAAAGCTCTGTTTAAATATAGTAACTTTGTATAATAACTTTGGCAATTGCCTGGGATAGTAAAAAGAATGATAAAAAATCTTATGAAAAGCAATATTGGCATGTTTATTTGACAAAAAAGTTCAAAGTTACTTCTGTTCTGGATATTCTACCTTATAAAGAGTATATATGAATTACAATCAAAATCACTGTATTTGATTCATGGCCTTTACCCCCACTTAACCAGATGAGCTACTTTATAATAATAAGATTATGGCACACTATTTTCTTCTTTTTAAAAAATTCTAATTTAAAATGGATGTCTAAATAGAATACTTTTCCATTTCATCTGTATATTTGGAAAAATTGCTATTTCAAGAATTCTTATTAATAATTAACATTAAAATATTATTTTAAAAATAATGAAGTAAGAAATGTGAGATCCATTTTAAGAAGCCCCATATGTTTCTTGAAGCTCTGATGAATTTAAGTGGCTCAGCTGGCATTTACCTTCCATCCAGTCTGTAATACTTATTGCATTTGACTATCTCCTTCCAACTTGAATTCAGCATCAATGTCCTTCTAACTTGTGCAAATACAGATACATGAAAAAAAGTAGAATGGTGGCCAAAGGAACTTCTCTACCAGTGTCAATTTTTTACACCTAAATTGAAAACTGGATTATGTTATATCCTTGCCTAGAAGTCTTTAAATACACCCCAAAAGTAAGCTGTAGCATAAAAATTTGAACATGTTCTTCATGGTATGGTTCTTGCTTATCCATTTACCATTTGCCTTAGGACAAATTAAATTACCTGGTTACCAACTCCATCTTGCTTTTCCTCATTGCAAGCAAGATGGAGTTGGTAACCAGGTACCTGATATTTCCCATATCTAGAATGCCTTGCACTACTATGACTACTTGGAAATTCTAGCTCATTCTCTAATTCTCAAATCAAATGTTTCCTCTTCTGTAAAGTTTTCTTCCATTTCCTAATCCCATCACAAACCAGGTGAATTTAGGTCTTCCTTTTTTAATCTTATCATAACTTGGATAAATAGACATATTTTCATTAGAGCCATGATCACATTTTAATGCATGTTCTGAGTTTGCCTGATCGTCTGCTTTACTTGATAATAACATTACCTAAAGACATAGAAAACATCTTCTTCCACTTGTTATGTCAAAAGCTTAATATGTGTTGAATACATGAGTGAGTAAATGAATTAAAAGTAGTGGGTTGAAATTTATTTCAAAACCCTGGATCTCAGTTAAGTTACTCATGCATAGACTTTATTTTCAATTCTGTATGAACCTGTTTCTATGCCCCTAATCTAAAATTTTCTCTAATATGTTTGAAGATAAGGAATATAATCAAGTCAGCTTGCTATTTAAGTCTGAAACTTTATTATGTTATATATCTTTCTAAATTCTAAGGATATTAAATGGATTTTATCTTTATGCTTTCTATGAAAAAATATCATATAGCAAATAATGATGGAAAAATTATTCATGAGGTGATCCTACAAGCATAATGTATCTTTTGTATTTTGGCAACATCTTGAATACAGGATTCAAATTGTTTGATATGGAATCCAAATGCTCTCTTGTTAGTTTAAGTCAATTTTGAAAGACAAGAGAAAAATCATACACACACAAACACACACACATATATATATATATATATATATATATATATATATATACTCATACATATATATGCTTGGATGTACGTAAAAATTTTATAATGTATTGATTTTCCTCCCACTTTAAGTAATTTATTCTTTTAGAATTCATTCTTTTTATGCTTTGCTTTATTTATTTATTTTTTGGTCCTAGGAATTGAAGGGCTTAACCACTTACTCACATTGCCAGCCATTTTTATGTTTTTTTTTAAATTTGTTTTAATTAGTTACACATGACAGTACAATGATCTTGACATACATTTGAATCAGATGGGATATAATTTCTCATTTTTCTGAGTGTACAGGTTGTAGAGTCAATTGGTCGTGCAGTCATGTATATACCCACAGCAATAATAATGTCTACTTTAATCTGCTATCCTTCCATTCCCCCCTTCTCCCCTCCCCTCCCATCACTTCTCTCTACCCAATCTAATGTGACCCACTTTTTCTTCCCTCACGTTGTCATACCTGTATTCTGTATAATGAAGGGGGTCTCTCCTTCCCTCTTCCATGCAATTCCCATTCTCCTTCCCTTTCCTTCCTACCGCTCTTCCTTATCTAGAGGTAATTTTCTTTGCATGCTCTTCCCCCCTACTCCATTTTGAGTTACATTCCTTATATCAGAGAAGACATTCA